TTGTAACACACTTCAAAATTTCAGAAACTCACTGGGATGTGAAAAAACCAAGACTGGAAATCATTGGAATTTAACCCCAAAGCAAGACTGCCTAATCATTTTTGTTGAGGAGTTTCTTGCATTGTTAAAACCAGCCTGGCTGGACGTTTGCAATTGATTTGTGTCTCATTTATGCTATCTATCAAAAGCGATCTATTCAGCTAGAATTATATAGAATTTTCGGTTGTACAATCTCTAAGTCGCATATTGCAATAGGGCAACAATTGTTCTTTGGTTTGAAAACATTGATACCATGCATTTGAAAAATATTCTTTGAAGATAAAAGTAAAATCTAAGATGCATGTGACTTCCTTTTAAGTTCGGCCAGAAATTGGGATTTTGCAGAGAGCTTTTTAGTTTTCAATGCCACATTTAAAATGAATATGTATATGTGTATGCCTATATATATACATATATATATATATATATATGCATTTGTGTAGGCATACACATTCAAATTCAGCAATAATATCAAACTATCACTAAGTATTGGTATATGCCGGCCCATCTTGGCAAGGTGTTTACAAGCTCCAATCCCATATTACTAAAGCCTGGTAGTGTACCTTAATTCCTATGAAACATTTGGGGTCTGTGCTTCAGGATATGCAAGCTATCTACTTATTTCTGGTGAGAGAAAGAATTGTACCAGAGAAGTTTTAACAATTTTTTTTGACGGTTAGCTTCCTGTATAATGCTTTTCGCGTGGATTAAGAAGAGGTGATGGTCTTTGAAGCTGTCAATTTAGCTTTTTCAGAATCACTATGATTTGTTTGCTATAGTGAGATTTTTCCCTTCATGTAAGCAGGCAAATTTTGATCTCAGTGTAAATTCTTCTCTCTTTCTTCATTCTTTTTCCAGTAGACAGCTCACACAGCTGTGACCTATAGCAAAGTCATTTGCAGTTACAGTAGTATGATTTTGGGTGTGAGGAAGTAGTACAGTAGCAGGTCCTGTGGATGTCTTTCTCCTTGTTCTCCGTGGTCTCGCTGTGTGTGCCACATTGCTTAGCAGATTTGCATGGGCTCCTGGTTGGCTTTGGACACTGAAAAAGAAGGCTGCAACTATGTGAAGTCTAAACATCTGCTAGAGTCGTGAATGGCTTTGGGTATGAGCTCATCAGCAGGTAGGTCAACTAACTACTCAGCTCAGCTATCATCAGCCAGATTCACTACCGTTGCCCCATTGAGAATTACTAATGTGTCTCAGTGGACATGAGATTGGATAGTCAGCCAAAGAGCTAATTTCCTCCTGTCTTTGGGTGGGGGTGGGGATGACTATGGGGAAGAATGGGAAATGGGAGAAGCCATTTCTGGAGATCTATTTGAGTTGCTTACATTATGATGTGTAAATCAAAACCAGCCAACCAAACAAACAATAAAAAGTAGAGACTGGCATGGCTTCACTGATTTCCCCAGAGGCAGGACTCATTAGATCTTGAGGGAGGATGTCAACCCAGATTCTATTTCTATCTTTGACCAGTCTTTCCCAAACTGTGCTTACAGAGAATGCTGATGGCGCAGTCAACTTGATTTGTCACTAGAAGTTAACAAAGGTGTTTTCCTTAGTTCATAAATTAACAAAAGTAGTATTAAGGGAAAATATGTGAAGAAAACTGATACCATGGTTAGAATTCTCTCAGTATTACTGTTTTATCCCCTAAATTTATCTCAAATGTTTCAACTTAGGTCTGCATTTATTAAACACTACTATTTGGCAGGCAGAGTGCTAGATTGGAAATATGTAAATGAATCAACTCTTGTACTTGATGATCTTTCGATCCAGTGGAGCAGATATACACACAGCTGGTTTCGTTTTGTTGGGGAGCAGCCGCCAACGGGCCATAAGCAAATGAGCATGAATTGAAAGAGTTTGAAATTAGATTTTCTTAAATGTTTTTAAAGATGCAGTGATTTACATGCATGTAGCATAAACTGTATTTTCGTCAATCAATATTTTCCTAGTTTTTGTGATGGCATCAAATGAGGGTATGGGGAAAATGTACCATTTTTATTTATTTATTTATAATTTTTTTCCCCAAGATTTTATTTATTTATTTGACAGAGACATGGCGAGAGAGGGAACACAGGCAGGGGGAGTGGGAGAGGGAGAAGTGGGCTTCCCGCGGAGCAGGGAGCCCGATGCAGGGCTCGATCCCGGGACTCTGGCGTCATGACCTGAGCTGAAGGCAGACGCTTAACAACTGAGCCACCCAGGTGCCCCAAATGTACCCATTTTTAAAGCTACGTATGAATCTCAGCTCATGAATAGAGTGAATTTCTGAGCTTCAGCTCCTTCATCTGCATTACAGGGCTGATAATACTTTCTATGCAGGATTGTTGAAAGTGATAGTGTGTGGAAAAGTGCCAGCACCTACCTGCTGATATGGGAATCCTCTTTGCTACATCTTGACTGGGTGTAGCACACGTTTTTGGATACTCTAGTGATGGGGAACAAAGTTTCTGGTGACAGAATAGTAACGGCTAGAAAGAGATAGGGACTCAAATTCTGATAATTCCCTGAGTTATTACAGGATGAGGCATAATGTGTGGCTATGGTATTGCTAGGGAATTTGCCATCTTTTCAACTAAGAAGTTCTCCAAATCATTACCTGTGGTAGTAGGTGTATCACTATTTTATCCTTATAATTAGTTCTGTGTGTATTTTCTCATGATATGATAGGATGAGTTATAAAGCACCATAGGGGTCACCCAATGCTGCCCCTCCTTCATTCTGGAGTTAAGGAATGGAGGCCCTAGTGTTTTTTTGTTAATTAGCAAAAGACCTGGGAGAACTCAGTTGTGTTGAGCTCTGAAATCTTTTCTCTGTCCTACCAGGTCCCTTAAATGTGCTCACTGCTGGTGACCTACTCATTGCTTGGGTTCACACAAACACACTCTGCACAGAGTACCTTACACATCAGGCTTCTAGGCGGTGAAGATAATTATTATTACTATGGTTGGTTACTCTGTTTGAATCCCCTTCCACAGGAACTTATTTTCTTAATGTTTCAAAGCAGTGCTGTTACTGGATGGATGTTTACCAAAGTGGCCTTTATTGCTCACTCAGACTGAAAACATTAATCGTCCTTGGGACTATGCTTGAAAATAAAACTGTGTCCATTTTTTCAGTAGACTTATTTTTTTTTTCCTGTCTAACAGCTGGCTTTGTTTCTCTAAGTTCTAAACTTTGAAAAGCACGTCCCTTTTCACTTGTTGTGTGTTAATGTTTTTCAGAAATGTTCATTAAACAGATCAATTTTTCCACCCCCTTCAACACTAGAAAAACAAAACAAGTTGAGTCATGTCAAAAGCAAGTAGTCCACAGGGATAAGGCAAGCATAATGTTCTTTCTGGATATAATTTAAAAATTAGAGGGGCATATCACTTTGTGAATTCTGTAGGGGCTGCTTAAGTACCACCAGGGAAGCAAAGTTTGTGATGTAGAAACCCCAACACATTTTTGTAGCTTTGAGTCCCTCAGCTTTGAAAAATACATTATGAAAATGACTCAGTGACCCATAGATTGGAATTTTTACACTAGGTTGTCAGATTATGAATCGAATAATCTATTGTACAACACAAAATACTATTTTAAGATTTATTGCTTTAAAATACATAATAAATCAAAACCAATATATAAGTTTCCTCACAGCATATATGATTATTAAATAGTTAATTAAAAATGTTTTGGTACGTGGAATGTTTGTACTTTCAGCCTTTGTCAAGATGTAGACACTAATTAAGGCATTCCTTGAAGACAAACACTGGTCTAGGAATTGCCTCCCAGATCATCCACAAGCACTCTAGGAAAAAAGTCACTATAATCCATGATAAAGGCTCTTCTGATTCATTGAAAGCTATTTACTGTGTGTTTGCTTGTATTTCCTTTGTGAACTTTTATATATAATATTCAGTTATTTGTAAACTTGGTGGACTTACTCATTTGCTGCAGAACTATTCTGATAATTTCAGGCTCCTTAGTCACATGATTCTATTCTGTTTGAGGAAAATGTAAAAGAAAATGGAGAATACGCCAGAACAAGAAAGAGTTACTGTCAGCGCCTTTCTCAGTAGTTATTTCCCATGTTTCCTGAGAACTTCGAGAAAATCTGTAAAAGACTACTGGATGAGTTAAGGAACTGCTTTTGAAATTTAAGTTGCAGAGCTAAATTTCAAATTTAAGCCACTAACATGACATGAAATTCTCTTTTTCACATTTGTTGAGGATATAGACCTCATCAAGTCAGTGGATGAGGTTTACCATACCCAGTTCGGAAGGGCATATCCATTCTTTTTTTTTTTTTAAGATTTTTTAAAAAAACATCATTTATTTGAGAGAGCGCGAGTGAGAGAGAGAGCACTCCTAAGAGAGCAAGCAGAGGGAGAGGGAGAAGCAGACTCCGTGCTGAGCAGGGAGCCCGATGCGGCGCTCCATCCCAGGACCCCGGGATCATGACCTGAGCCCAAGGCAGACGCTTAACCGGCTGAGCCACCCGGGCGCTCCAGGGCATATCCATTCTTGAATCACCAGGCACCACAACCCAACTGGGATCCTATGCAGATGAACAAGGGCCTGTTTTTCAGAATATTGTCTGTGATGAGTTTTTAAACCGTTTCCCATGTTGTGTAATTGTCCACATGTTTGGGGAGTACTTTATTTGGGATCTGATCAGGTGGTGTGACTTAATGAAGGGAACAAGCGACTAGGACACAGGATCCGCATTTTATCCTGGGTTGTGTGGTTTCGGTGGGGTGGTGTAGCCTCCTTGAGTTTTGATTCCCATCTCTAAGATGGTGGTGAAGCCTTCCCAGCTTGTCTCACAGAGCAGCTGTAAGGATCAAGTGAGATGATGTGGCTTCTCTTCAGGTTCTGACGTGTGAAAATGTTAAGTCACTGTTATCATTGGTAATATAGAACTGGTAGATTTGGCCTTTCTCTTTGTGGATTTTTGCTTACCTCAGCGTTCGATCTGCTCTGCTGCATTGTTGCAACAATGGCTGTGGTGGTTGAAGAAGCTGAGTTTTGCGTGTGTTCCAGGCCTCCTTCATGGCATGTTCCTTCTCTTGGTTGGCACCAGTGTAACCTTCCTTTCACGTGGATTGAGGTAATCTTTGAAATATGTCCTCAGCCTCTGAATTGAAAAGTTTTTTCAAGGGTCTACTCTTTAAGCTAATTAACAACAGCCGTAGTTAACGCTCTCCAGTGGGTTCCATCTCCTATGGAATAAAGCTCAAATGATTCCCTGTGATCCACAGGGACCCTCCATGAGTTCTCTGGCCTCTGCCTGCTCTTCCGTTCATCTTATACCTCTCCCCCTTGTGCTTACTCTGCTCTGGCCACAGTGGCCTTTCTAGTCCTCCAATAAGCCTAACGCCTTTCTGAGCAGTGCATTGGCGCCAGTGGTTTCCTCCGGACAGCTTTCTTCTCTTCCTTTTCCCTTGCAGATCTTCTTGTAGTTGGTTATTTCTTGTTATTCTGGTCTCAGCTCAAATAACCCTATTCTTAGACAATCATTTTCAATCCTCCAATCTCAAGAAGGTTCCTCTCCCATTCTTTCTCTTTCGCATGACCCTGTTGTATTTTTAGCAACCCCCCAATTTTTTGTTTATCTATTTACTAATCTATTATCAGCTTTTCCCACCCTTCACTTGAATGTAAGCTGCATCATGAGGGCAGGGATCTTTCTCATCTTGTTTAAAGCTGGGTACCCAGGCATCTGGAAGACTGTTGTGTTATAGCTCTTCATAATTTCTTGTAGAATGGATGAATCAATGAGTACCAGTACTTCCATTAAAAAATATTAAAGTTTAAACCAGCATCCAAGTAAATAACTTATAATGCAATTTTACTTACTCCTCTTGTGTGGGAGCATTTTGTTTTTAACACAGCCTTTAGACCCAAAAAAGTTTTCTTAGTTATGAGTTATTTGTTACAGATCACCCCAAAATTTAATAGCATAAAGCAAAAATTTATTACTCCTTACCATTCTGTGGATTGGCTGAGCCTTAGTTGGGTGGTTCTTCTGCTTGGACCTTGGAGGGGGTGGGGCTGGAGCATCCAGTCTAGCTTCAGGTACCTCCTCATGTGGCCTTCTCTTCCTGTCTGAGAAGTTGGACTTCTTACATAATGGCTACCTTCCAAGAAGGAGCAATCCAAGGAGAAAAAACATAAGCCCCGATCTCTTAAAGCTCAGCATCACTTCTGTAGCATCCTACTGGTCAGGGCAGTCATAAAGACAGCCTGTATCCAAGAGGAAGAGAGAGAGATGAGGAATAACAAAGAAGGTGGGGCTGTCTTACTTCACTACAAGAGTGGTCTTTTCCTAAGGGAGAAGGAAAGGCAGTTTTAATTGCATATCTTCTGCAGTATGCCAGACAGTAGGGATAGAAAACCGTCACAGTCTGTGGGTAGGTGTAGTGTGTAACTCAGGGTTTGGAGTAAAGAGAGTTGGTCTCTCATTGATGGCCATTGTGTTTTCTGAGACTTGACAGATACTGAGAATTTTATCCCCTACTTTGCATTTCTTGGCTGAAAGAAATTGGTATTGGGGTTGCCTCAATCTAGTGATCATGAAGTATGTTATGAAAATAGAAAATAATTCATTCTTCCATTCTGGGAAATTAGAAATTTGGATATCTTCCTAGGATTTTAGTGAATCTTTAAACTTTTTTTTTTTCACATAAGCAAGTCTCAATCATCCATATTATGCATAATTGAATCTTACAGTTAACTGTTGTGCATGAACTTAATCAATAGTGTCAGTTTTCTCTCTTATCAAATTCCTAACAGAGCTGCTAAGTTGTCTCAAGGGGACTGATTCAGTTTTTCTCCCTTTCTTGCCTATCATGTGGTGTGGGTGCAAAAGGCGCCATGTGAGAACAGGAAGACAGATAGCAGAAGAAGAATGAAGATCAAGGGACCCAGCCAAGCAATTACTTGCAACCCAAAGCATCAAAATACCAGTTCTTATCTAATGTCCCAGAAGTTTCATTTACTTCTTTTTTTTTTTTTAAGATTTTATTTATTTATTTGACAGAGAGACATAGCGAGAGAGGGAACACAAGCAGGGGGAGTGGGAGAGGGAGAAGCAGGCTTCCCACTGAGCAGGGAGTCTGATGTGGGGCTCAATCCCAGGACCCTGGGATCATGACCTGAGCCGAAGGCAGATGCTTAACGACTGAGCCACCCAGGCGCCCCTCATTTACTTCTTTGATACTTGCTTTTCTCTAGTCTGAGAAGGGTTTCATCTTCATTGGATTCCACCACACTGCTGGATCCCAAACCTTTTGCTTTTAGCATATCTCTTTCTGGAGCTCTGGGTGCTCATTTCTGAATATCTAAGAGATACCTCTACTGGCTGGCCACATCATCACTGTAACTTGTTCTAAACACATCTGTTATTTGCCCCCTTCAAGTCTGTTTTCTTCAATATTCCACACCTCAATTAATGCTACTGTCATCCACCAGTCATCACAGTCAGAAGCCTTGGGTCTTCCTTGAGTTTAGTACTCATATTCAGTTTTTATTTAAGGTGGACTTTTTCCTACCCCCTGAATATGTCTTGAGTCTCTTTCCTCTCCTCTATTCCCACCACTACTCATTTATTTCAGGCATTCATCTTCTCTTGCCCACAAAATAGCAATTAAGTGGTCTCCCTGCTTCCTTCCAGTCTCGCTTTCTCCTACACATCTACAGTTTTATCTGAATTACTTTTAGAAAAACTATTCATCGGGTTAAAATCCCTCATCATGAGTCTCTATTGTCCCCTGGTTAGAGACAAAGCACTTTTCAGTAGTTTACAAATCACCCAGAGTAATTTGTGATCTTACCAATCACTTATTTTTTCAGGCTCCAACTCTTGCCACTGCTATCCACCATCTCACTGACCTTTCAGATTCTTTCATGGGCTCATGCCTCCACGTATGCTCTTGTTCCAGTTTCATGGGCTCCTCTTCTCCACTGTGTCTGCCTGATGGATCCAGTTCATCTTATAAAGCTTACTTCAGTAGCTTTAAATGACCTCTTGAAACCATTTGAGAGCCCCCATGACTGTCCCCTAAATAAAAAGGTATTTCCTCATTCATGTTCCAGTAGTACTTTTATTATAATTTCTTGGCTTAATGTTTGAATTCTCTCCTGTTCCTCTTCCGCCACTGTTCTGCAAAATTTGAGTTGGGCAGTATCATTTAATATCTAAGTTTAAATGAGGTATAATTACCCTATTAGTTAAAATAATAGTACCTAGAAAAATGTCTGGCCTTCACTATGCTTTCCTGTCTGTAGTTGGCATTTTCTCCTCCACCCAGCAAGTGTAAATTTGAATCTACAAACCTTATGGTCAAGATGCTTTTGAACAGTTGATGTGCATAATTTCCCTCCATGAATCCTGTTTTAATCCAGCTTGAATATGGTTAACCATAGAGAGTCTTTAATGAAACTATCTTCCATTTTGCAATTCACCCTTCTTCCCTCCCTCCCTCCCTCCTTTCCTCCTTTTCTTTTAGTCTTTCCTTCCTCTCTTTCTCCCACCCTTCCTTCTTTCCTTCTTCCGTTGCTTCCTTCCTCCCTTCCCTTCCCTTCCCTTCCCTTCCCTTCCCTTTCCTTTCCTTATATATCAGGAACTAATTCAGTCACCCACATTTGTCTTACCCATGGCTGATTGCACCAAATCAGTTTATCATTATAAGTGACTTTATTTTTGGCATTAAAAAAAATTTCAGTCCATTTCAAAAACTCATAGATAAAAAAGAAATTAGTTTGCCCCAGTTGTTCTTTAAATTAAAAATTATTTCCCTTATTCCATATTGCAATGTACGGCAGTTTGTTTAACATTCCCCACTTCCCAATTTTTCAAGTTATAAGATTTTGTTAAATATTAAATACTATGCAATTTTTGCTCTGATTCTAATATTTTAATTAATAGGTCCACCTTACTTTTTTTAAACTTAGATGTTTAGCACTACTGCCTGTCTTAAACTGTGTAGAATACAGGCAGAGGGGGAAATACAAGATTCGAATGCTAAATGACTTCCTGATTAAAGGGACATATTGCTGATGCCACACCTTCTACTCTTTCCTTACATGAGTGTGGATGTTCTTAGATCTGTGGAGCCAACTTTCAACCATGACATGACAAAAGAAAAGATTCCACAGAGATGCTTGACATACCTTGACATACTTGAATAGTTCACTCCAAGAACCGCAAGTATATATTTAATAACTTTCGCCATTTGAGAAAAAGCCTAACTTGTATGTTTATTTAGTAAGGGTGTTGAAGAGACAGGTGTTCCCACAAAATAAATCTGAAGAAAGGAAAGGTGGCTATTTTAGGTAAAAAAAAAAAAAATATTTGTTAAAGCAGCTTGAGTTAATTAAATCTCAAGCTGGCCTTTTATTTATTTGCTTTCTTACCTTCATGCCTCTCTCTGTCTCTCAACTCAATGTTGGCTACCTTGAAGTTAATTGGCTTGAATGAGAGGTCCACACCCTTAATTTGATCTTTCCCCTGAATCACTTCATTCAACAAAGAAATTTTACTGGGACTTTTTTTTTTTTCTTCAAAGTCCTTTTAAATGCCACATCTTACTATATCTAGAAAATAATTTTGGGTGTGGTTACTGGTACACACAGCGTGGAACTGACTGGGGGCAAAGTGATTAGAAGTCCACTGAGTCTTTGAGGGAATTCCTTCCAAAATCACAACGCTAGTTTAGAAAGCCTTTGGTCTCAACAATGCAAACACTGGACCCCCAAACTGTGGTGCTAGAAATATAGATCTGATGTAATACCCCAAACTATCAAAACTAAGAAAACAAAATGAATTTTTTAAGGAGTGGATACAAGGGGTCCTTGTCTGAGTCTGTTGGGATCTTTCTTATTAATCTGCACGAATCTCTGTAGAGTGGGAGAGGCAATGGCAGTGGGGGTGTTGTGAGGATAAAGAGCTTGACAAGAGAAACAAGGGAAGTTGAAGAACACTGTGTCCCTGGAGCCAAGACTCATCACCGTTACAAAAAAACACAAAGGATACTAGTGCAACTGATCATGAAAAGAGCTTTTGTTAGTTCTTTTTGTATTTTTTAAAGGAAACAATTTTTGCCTTGT